CACAAAACCCAAATGTATAACCCAGCACCCTGGGGCATGAACAGAGTGGTGTTCGTTGGGCCCCCTGAGTCCAAAGTAAACAGAGAGGGATAACCTGTTGGTGAGAGTGCTGGTGCAGTCTGGTCAAGAGTGGTGGTCACGGTCCTTCTCTGGATCCCGCGAGTGGTATAGAAGTCCCAAGACCCCCAAGATTATATATCCTCAGGTTCAGGCAGGAATGCCCAGTACCTCCCTCAGGGCGGGGAGTTCCACAATGGGTATGAGGACAGGAGCATCCTCCCATCTCACAGGCTTCTTAACATCCAGCTTATAGCCTGAGGGGTCAGGCGTGCTCTGGGCAGATGCTGTAAATGGTCTAGTGATAACAGTGTCTGGAAAATGGCATGGAAGTCTATAGAGCACACAGTTTTGGGTTACGCCCATCCAGTGATGAACTGGTCCCGGCTGTTCTAACTAGGACAAAGAGATGTGAAAAATACTTGATAGATATCATCTGAATTTTAGAGAAGAAGAAAAATGTTATTTTGCATGAGGTTGTTGGATTTCAGTTGCAAAATCTTAATGGGAAGAAACCAATTAGAAATTAAGTGAAACAATCTCTTCTTTAAGTTGCATTTTGAAAAAAAAATGTCAATCCCCACACTTCATATGCATTTATATTAAATTACAAATTCAGCAAACCATTTAAGCACATAATTAGTTATAGGCAAGTGGTTAAGTGCTATTGACTTCAAGTTAAGATTATGTTTAATTGCTTTGCTGAATCAGAGTCTCCAAAATGTTTAATAAGTCTTGGATTTTTTTAGAAAACAGGATAAAATCATCATAGCTTTGTGATTCTCTTGGATTTAGTTACATAAATACCTGGTCTTATTATGTATTTCAGTACATGACTCTTAGCCTCTGATGTGTTTATCTGCCCAACTAGCCTTTCGCTTTACAGGTAGGAAATTAAGACTATCAATATGCCTACGCTGATAACTCAGATTTGAGCTAGATGCAATCTGGCTGATGGAGGTGGGAAGTCAGAGCAGCATGTTCTGCCACTGATGAAGAACACAGTTTCCCAGACAGGCTCATACAAACTAGTTTAGAAAACACATTTTTCTCTAGGAATGTAATAATTTAGAAGATAAAATTGTTATGCATATGTATTCACATATGTGTATATATATATATATATACACATACACATGCAAACCTGAAAATTACTAAAAAAAATACAACGGGATGTTTCTGAGGCCAAAGAACAGCACAATCAATTGATTTGTTAAAGACTGGAGTTGTTAAAGCACGTGATAATACCACATACATATTGAAGGACCAATACAGTAACACTCTAGGGTTTTTCTTTCTGCAATAGCCCTTCTTTCTATAATAAGATGAAATGTAGACAGATTTTTTTAAGTCATCATTTATTTATGAGATAGCTTAAGTCTAATGCAAAACTACTTAAGAAACCCAAATGTCTCATCTGAATTTCCAAATGAGTAGCAAGCATTATTAGAGCATTAGTCTTCCAAATGTAGATATAACTGGCAAACGAAAAGGAAACTGAAATCTCAGAGAATCTACATTTAACCTTTCTTTCTCTTTGAATAAGGAAACTATCTGGTTTAAAAACGCAATTTCTTCCTTTGTTTCTATATGCATCTGTTGTGAGCCATAGGAAACCTCTGAAGAAATGAGTTCCACAGCATTAACTAATTAATCTTAACAGTTGCAATGCAAGGTACATTGGGTTTATTATTGCCCATTTTCCAGATGAGAAATAGACAGATTTGTTTAAGGTAATAAAATGAGGCAACGGCAAAGGAGAGGAAAGTACTCATGTTTTATGCTCAAAGTTCAGGCAGTCTCTGCAGTAACATGATCTATTTTAGACATTAGTGCAATTTCAATGTCCATAATACTATGTGATCTCAGTCTGGACTGAGATACCACCTCAGTAAAGCAATGTTGCAGAGAAAGAGTATGGAAACTCAGGCAGTCTGCACTCCTTTCCACACACATTACTGTCTCCTCAAACTGTGCTTCAAGGACAAACCCTAAAGGCACCATGCCCAATCAGATTTCAAATGTCTTTAGCACCATAAATTCCAATCATTTTCTTACCTATTCCCCTGCTCTTAATAGGAGGCAATTTCTATTTCTTCTGAATTGGCTTCTCTCGTGCTTTAGCTGCTTCTTTAGAGCTGTCCTGGAGCTGTGCTGACTGCTAGATTCACTTGGCAATAAAGTTGGCTTTTGGCATCCTAAAAATTCGGTGATGTTGCCTGCACAGCCAATATGTCTTACAGACTGCCAGGACAATCTTTATGGCATACTCTATTCTTCAAAACACACAGCTGAGCCTGAGGCACAGTCTGGGGCTGATGAATAGGAGGAACATCTCTTTCTATAGAAGGATGAGATATTCTAGGAGGAAGAGCTGGCTGAAGAGTAAGCTCCCAGGGAGAGTCTTTAAAACTAAAGCAAAAGGTAACCATTCATTCACACTGGCAGATCCAAGAGGCAGAGCAATAAACTCGCATGGAGATAGACAGTGCTGAAGAACACTCAAGGCGCTGCTATGAGGACTAGTTCACTACAAATGAAGAATGATCAGTTTATAGAAAAAAGAGAATTCTGAAAAACACTTTATGCAACTGCCTCCTCAAAGCAGAGCTAACTACAAGTTTAGATTATGCTGTCTAGATAGTTCATCCAGGTTGAAGGGGTTGGTTGTTGGGGGAGCCTCTCTCCTTTACCCAAAATCTGTGGAGTATGACACTTCTACCATGTTGATGGAAGAAATAACTGAGTTTCTGGACATGTAGCTATTATGTCAGGACCTATAGGGAGGGGTAAACTTCAGTCTTGGAAAATGTTGTAGCAAGAACCTGATCATGGAGGCTCAGTGTGCAGTTGGATAAACAGGTTTTTGTTTTTAAGAGAGAGAAAGAAATAATTGCTGCTGCCCTATCTTTTACTAGAATGGGGCCTTTATGAAGAAGCAGTAAATGGAACTGGAGGAAAAGATAATGGTGAATGCTTGGGATATAGTAATTGGTATGGTTAAACTATAATTGACCATGTGAGGTGTGAGTAGCAAATGTGATCTTTGGAGTCAGGATGTGCAGCACTAATCAACCTTGTCCCCTTTGCAATGGGTTGCAAAATAGGTTTCAGATATGTCAAAAAACCAGAAAGATGTGTTTTTCCTTTTAGTACTATTTAACTGATAATACACTTTGCTGTCTGTAAATAGTATCCCTACTGTTTTCTGTGGCTGAATGTGTAGACTGACAGGTATGATGGAATGAGAATGTATACAGAATTATGAAATGGCTTTCAACATACTGACTTGTGCTGGTTTAAAGGTAAACCAGCAGGTGAAATGAATCCAACTCAAAAGAGAGATTATAAGTCAGAATAACAATTTAATAAAATAATACAATAAATACAATTATACAGACAAACAATTGGTTTTAACCCACAAAACCCAAATGTATAACCCAGAACCCTGAGGTATGAACAGAGTGGTGTTCGTTGGGCCCCCTGAGTCCAAAGTAAAAGAGAGGGGAAAACCTGTTGGTGAGAGTGCTGTTGCAGTCTGGTCAAGAGTGGTGATTGCAGTCCGGTCTAAGGTGGTGGTCGCAGTCTGGTTGAAAAGTGGTGGTTGCAGTCCAGTCGAGAGTGGTGGTTGCAGTATGGTTAAGAGTGGTGGTCTGCAGTCTTCCTCTGGATCCCACGACTGGTTAAAAAAGTTCCAAGATTCCAAGATTGTATATTCTCCAGTTCAGGCAGGAACTTCCCTCAGGGCGAGGAGTTCCACAATGGGTGTGAGGTATGAGGACAGGGGGCACCCTCCTATCCCGCAGGCCTCTTAACACCTAGTTTATAGCCTGAGGAGTCAGGCTGTTCTGGGCAGATGGTGTAAATAGTCTATTGATAACAGTTTCTGGGAAATGGCATGGGAGGCTATAGAATACACAGTTTTGGGTTACACCCATCCAGTGATGAACTGGTCCCAGCTGTTCTAACTAGGACATGATTTCTACCTGCCTTTGAGCTGGCATGTAGACCTCTGGATGAAATAACTGAGGAGCACAGTGACTCCAGTTAAAGCCAAAAGCTGAAGAAGTACTTTTCAAGGCAAAAAAATGAATGTTAAATGGGGGCTGATAAATTTAACTAATTGAACATGTCTATTTTGGAAGAGATGTTCATCTCAGTTTAGATGTAGTTGGTATAAATCATTAAACACTATCCACTATTGCAAACACATTTTGCTGTTACAATCTGTTCAGCTTTCATAGCTCTACAAAGTTGCCAAGCTGGTGCATCCTTTGCTGTACGGTATCTTGAGTACTTTGACAGCTCTAGTCAGTTTCCACAGTAAATTACCTGTCTTGTTAAAGATTTATGTTTAAAGAATTCCTGTAATAAAAAGTGTTAAGGACCAGAGCCAAATTCACAATTTAATGGAATCATGGAATAATTTAGGTTGGAAGGGACATGTGGTCCTGAGCTTAAAGAATTTCTAAGTAGAGCAGGTTGCACAGGGCTGTGTCCAGTCAAGTTTCAGACACCTCTGAGGGCAGAGATTCCACAAACTCTCAGGGCAACCAGTTTCTGGGCTTGAGAAACTTCATGATAAAACTAGTTTCTCCCTATATCTACTTGTCACTTCCCGTGTTCCAGCTTGTGTCCAACGCCTCACATCCTATTGCTGCACACTTCTGGTAAGAGCACGGCTCCATCCATTCAGCTTGCAGACAGAAACAAGGACCCCCTTGAGATTTCTCTTTTTAAGGCAAAACAAACCTCATTTCCTCAGCCTGTCCTCATCCATCACGCCTTCCAGCTTCTTGGTGTTATGACCCACCTCTGGAGGCGAGGGCAACCCAGGCACTAGTTAATAGATTCCTTGGGATGGATTAGAGTGAAACAACACTGAATGATCAGTGTTTGTAAATATATATATATATATATATATATAGGGTTTATTTTAGAACAATTTGGTTGGAATGGAAAGCAGATATGTAGCCATTTTGATTATTATTTATAATAATATAGCAATTTAAAAGCAAAAAAGTAACACTTCAGAAAATGTATAAGGGGAGAGAAAGAAAGGGTAAGAGCAGAAAGGTATGTAGTCCCCACCTGTGAGTCCAGCACCAAGACTTGATTGTTGTAATTTTGATGTCCTTTGGTCAAAGCAATGGTAGCAGTCTTTACTGAAGTGATGGTTGTAGTTTTGATCCATTGGGCGGTGGGGAAGCCCAAGAAACACAAAGCCCTGTAGCAGTAAACCTGTATTATATGGGAAAACTGTTGTTTAAACATGTCTTAAAATGGCTTTTTGTGGTCTCTTTGCAAACACATGCTTCTTCTTCCCAACACCTCCCATGACAAGTGTTATCCCATGCAGGAATGTCCTGAGAAGATATCCTGAGGTGTTCTCATTGGCCCCTTTTAACCCCTTCCTATTGGTTGTTAACCCCTTCCTGCAACCTGTAATTGGTTACTCTGTGAATCCTCCTAACCCTATAAATGTAACATCCCCAACAATAAACTCTCTCTTGCCTCCTCTCCACGCGGGTGTGCTGTCTCTGTGCCTGCCATGAGACCACGTGGGTGGAAGGAGGGGAGGGCACCTCTCCCCTCCAGGCTCAGGGCCTGAAGAAACCCCTGGTGCTGGAGTTCCCTTTCCCTATCCACCTCAAGCCATCGGAAATGGTTCCTCAGATGGAAATGGAACTAGAACTGGGTCACCCCACGCCATGGGGGGAAAGGGATCCAGAAAGCCCAGTGCGTTAATATTATGCTCAGGCTCAGAAGGAATGTCCAGATACACTGAATGATATAACACTTTGGATCATGGGACACTTCATGAATCTTTGATGGTTCATAACACCTTCTGAGACATTACAGCTGCCAATTATGCCTCATCAGAAAGTATGAATACATGAGAATGTCCTGGTACTTCCTGGAGGGGAGTTTTCATAGCTGAGCCACTTGTGTAAGGACTTGGGCATAATAAAAAGCATTATTCCACCTTGTAGGATTTGCATCTTATCAGTCTCTTCCCTGATCTTGTTCAACACCCTTGGTGGTGGGTGTACACCCCATCTGCACCCAGGCGGTTACTTTGTGCATTGCCAGCAAAGCACCCTGCTGATTGTTTCAACCACTAACAGTCCAGCCTCTCACACTTGGCCATCTTGCTCACCCTCCACTTGACTCACTTGAGTATGCTAATGTCTTTTTTGAAATGGGGAGCCCAGAACCAGACACAGCACTAAAATGCACTCTCAGAAGTGCCAAACAAGGGGGAAAGGATCATGCCCCTGAAACTACTGACCACATTCTTGATAACAATGCTCAGTATGTAGCTGACTTTCTTGCTGCTTAATAGCATTCAACTTGTTGTCCATCAACTTTTCAAAGCTCTTTTTTCTGCCAGTTGGCCTGCCACAAGCCTCTGCTGTTGCATGAGCTTACTCCTCTCTTGGCATAGGACTTGACGCTTGTGTTGACGTTCCTGTTAATGCCTTTCTCCAGCCTGACCAGGTCCTTCTGTACAACAGTCCTCCAGTGTATTAACTGCTTCTCCAAATTTGGTACCATGTGCAAACTTGCTGAGAATGCATTGTGTCCCAATATCGAGACCATTAATGTAGACAGACACTGAACAGTCCCAGTACTGATCCCTGAAGGATGCCACTTGCTACTGACCCCCAGATAAATTTTACACCACTTATCATAGTTCTTTGAGCTTGGCAGTCCAATCAATTTTCCATCTAACTCATTTTCCATTTATCCAGCGTATATGTCACCAGTTTGATAATAAGGAGACTTTATAAGAGTGTGTAAAAGGCCTTGTTAAAGTCAAAGCATACACCATCCACTGCCCCTCCCTTTTGTCCACAGCAGCAGCACTCATCTCATCATATAAAGGTGGTCTGCCATGATTTGTGCATGCTAAATCTATGTTGGCTGCTCCCAAATACCATTTTGTTCTTCACATCTCTGAAATGGCTTCCAAGAGGATTTATTCCATCACTTATCCAGTCACTGAGGTTAGGTAGACCAGCTCATAGTTTCCTGGATCTTCTTGCTGTTTTTGATGATGAGTCTGACATTTTTATTTTTTTTCCCAGTTATTGAGAACCTCCTCTAAAATTCACGACCTTCTGAAGAGGTTTGACAACAACCTTGCAATGATATCAGTCAGCTACATCAGCACCTTGAGATGCATCCCATCTGTTCACAGAGATTCGTGTATGCCTAATTGGCTAATCCTGTCTTTGGGTAATAGAGATGATATTTCACCCTCTTTTCTCTCTTGAAAAGGGAAAAAGATAAAGTAGGCATCCAAGCATTATTAGAAAACAATGCAGCACACACTCAGATATAATGTTAATTATAGATTTTCCATCTCTTTGCCTGGTTAGGCCAAAATGCCACTGAAACAAATCTGACAACTTGTATCAGAAAATTTCAGTGGTTTAAAGGCTTTTGAAAATAGATACAAAGCAGCTATTAGGACTTCAATGTACAAATTTAGTGAAACTCAAGCAGTGAAGAAATTTGTTAGTGAATGTATACAACTTAAAAAAGATAGAGCCCTTGGTAAAAAAACTTGAAGAATCTAGCAAACGCACATATGCTGATAACCCTTGCTGTGATTAACAACAATCACATGCTCAGATAAACAAGAAATACTCCTGACTGGAACTAAGGAATAAAGAAAAGCCAACAGAACTTAGATGGCAAGTTAGTTCTGGAAAATGACTGTATTAAAAGAAGAATGAGGTCTGGAAAATTAATATGTGCAGAGTCAATAGACCACAGTTACAGAATATCTTTTAAGAAAATATGTTTTACATACATTATGTTTCTTGTTGATAACCTTACATATTTTCATTATATCAGTTCTTCTTTGTCCAATTTGTACTTTAAACTTAGGTCCTCTTTCTTAGTTCAGCTCCTAATTTATGATCATCATCAGGTTTTGTTCGTATTCTACTTTTGCAAGGCATATTTTGTTATCTTTATATAATACGTTAGTTAAAAATAAGAAAAAATTGATTGCAACTAAATATACCGTAATTTCTCTCTACAACAATGTTTCAGCATTCACCTTAGAGATACAACTTTGAAATTTTCTTTTATGAAGAAAAAGACAGCTCAGTAAAGGAATATGACATTAATTACAGTAAAAAAATAATATAAAGCAAACAAACCATACCATAAAAACACAGGGTAAGAGTACAAGCCAAACTCCAGTAAAATAACATAAACGACAATATTAAGTATTTATAATAAATGTTAATCTATTAACTCACTTTTGTCAGAAGTTTAGGATGTGTTATTCAGGAATTTTATGGATTTTCTTTTTTTTTTTAAATTTCAATATAAGCAATCAGAAGTAGCAAACTGAAGGCACGTGTTCAAGTTTTTAGTATGAACATGAAAAAAATCTGGTTTTAGGAGTGTCTCTCATCTTTATAAGACAGAAAGAAAACAGTAAATAAATTTTGTAGAAGTATGAAAATTATTTTAGGACATTTGCAGTTTATCAGGTATGTTGTGATTCTGAAAATGAGTGAGTGTAAATAAAGGAAGATTTATCTCACTTAAAATACTACAGCTTTATAAAAACACACATATTTTATACACATACACAGAAAAAATTTTTTGCTTCCAACTGTGGGCAAAACAACAATTATTTGCTCATGTGATACAAATAAAAGTACTCAGAAAAATACCCTATATATATTCTATATTATATGTTTTATATTATATTTTCCATGTAATGGTCCAGTATGTATTTTACTGCAGTGAAGCAGATGCAAAGATATGCCCACATCACCTAACTACAAGTGATGAATATGATATAGTCCTGTTTGCCCTTCCTTTCATTGCTTTTTCTTCTGAACCATCACAGATAATCTTTTATTCTGTCCTTAATTTTCTGATGACACTCCATAACTACGTTTATGAATCTTTGATTCATGCAATCTTTCATCTTTCTAATGTGGCTTGGGGAACCACCATTTTTACAGGAATCATAAGCTAACAAATCATGCCCAGCAGTCATATGGATCTTTAATTATTGTGTTATTAACATTGAAAATTAGTTGGTTATAATAAAATCTTTTTGGCAAATATAGTCTCCAAATCATTTTAAAATACAACAAATCAATAATGTTTAGCATTTCATCAATGCTGAAACATCTGGCCAAGTGTTATCCACTCTTATGTTGGTGTGTTGTGTATTACAGCATTTAATCAAATGGAAACTCAAAAGCTGGTAAACTAAACAAGGAAACAAACACCTGGAAGAATACGGAAGAGATAATGAAGTATCCTTTTTTTTGGGCAATGCACACAATCATGTTTTCAGCACACTGACAAGTGTGTCAATATCAAAATACTTTACATTCTGCACGACTAAAATACTATTCCTAAATTATGTACTTTAATCTTAGGGAAATGTTTTTAATCACTAATTTTTATATGCTTTTTAGTTTATACTTCTCACATAAGTACTGACCCGTTAGATGTCTAAGCTTCATACCCACTAGAGACCTAGGCAGTAAACTAAAGTGAAATGCTCTGAACTTCTAGTTTTTCAGTTCACCAAAGCGTTTGTTAAGAATGATGAAAAAATCAGTCTAAATTCCATTAAATATTTTGTCTGTTCATGGGAGCACAAACACATTCCTCGTATGTTGATAACTCCAGATAGACTCCCAAATTTAGACGTGAATTTAGAGATGAATCCCACCAGCATGAATTCAAAATATTTTAAAAGTATTTAAATTATTTATATTTTTCAGACTCCAAGGCTTTTTTCCTTCAGTCATTTATTCTGTCTGCTTATCTCCTTCAGAACTCTTCCACATTCGCCATTAGTCTTCAGTGTCCATTTTAAATAACAAACTGTGAGCTGTCAAATTCTAAATTTTTGTTTAAAAATAGTTTCTGTTTTCATAGTTGTGATTAAAGGTGCAGCAAAGATGTTTTGCAAGTCCCTTAAGCAATCCTTGTATAATAACAAGGATGAACTTTAGCAAAGCTTTCAACACTGCCTCCCAGAATATCTGAGTTGTGATATGGATAGATGTACAGCTAGATGTATAAAAGTTGGCTGAATTTTGGGGTTAATAGGGTAATGATTAGTGGGTCATCATCTAACTGAAGACCAGTAAACAGTGCAGCAGCACAAGATTCTGTGCTGGGACCTCCCCTCTTTAGTATCTTAATCAAGAACACAGAGAAAGCAACACAGTGCAATCCCATGA